CAAATTTGGTATTAATCATGTACACTAGACTTTCTAATATTAGGATTTATGTTATATAGAATATATGTTTGTTACGAAATATGTTCTACATTTGGACTGATTGTTTCACATTGCAGGTGATTCTGGATATGCATTAAGGCCATGGTTATTGACACCTGTTATAAATGCTATACAAAACTCATCCGAAGATCGATATAATGTTGCACATAGACGAATTCGAACCTTAATAGAAAGGACGAACAGTTTATTGAAGATGCGTTTTCGATGCTTGTTAAAACATAGAGTCTTGCATTACAAACCAGACGTAGTATCGCGTTTAGTTAATGCTTGTATAGTATTGCACAATATGTGCATTGAAAACAAAGTACCAATGCCGCCTTGAGAGGAAATAGATTACAATATTGACTTAGAAATAAATGTTAATAATAATATTAATGATAATGTAGAACAAAACCGGATTAATCCAGAGCTTGTCGCAAGAAGGCTTCAGAGGCTATTAAACGGAACAAAAAAGTCAAATATCATTTTGCGAAACTCGCAATAGTTCTCGAGTAATTAATTATTTTGTCTGAGCAAATAAGCGCTCGGGTCGGCGCGCAACATTGATATCACGAATCGCGGCTCTCCAATCACAGCTACGTTAGATACCATCGTATCTCCTAGCCATAGTTACCATAGTTACCATAGTTACGAGACACAGAGTGTCACAGAGTATATATATGTATGTGCATGATTAAAAGTTAACATTAAAAATGTAATAATTGAAATTATAAATTCAATATTAACTTTTGTCCCATATTTCGCATATTTTACTGAATGTAAATTTACAGATACAGTTTATATAGTTCGCGAAAAAACCAAAAAGAATTAATTAAAATAATATTTTAAATGCAAAATCTCTGCCCTCCCCCTCACCACATAGTCCTTTATTACAATGTATAATATTAATCGGAAAGCTAATTAATTTAATTGCGATTTATTTCTTAATTAAAGTGAACAAACGAATTTAAAGCGACACTGTCGCGCATCGTCGTGACAAGGCAAGAGTATATATTTGATATTTCCAAGGAAAAAAATGGTGCAGTAAATTCTGCAAATCTATAGCTTGCTAGGCAAAATTAAACATAAATAAGCAAACTTGCTAGTGCAGCAAATATATTAAATTTAGAAGCAATTGTCAATTTGCTTATAGAATAAACTCATTTTTGTTTATATTATTAATTGTTTATATTATTAATTACTACAACAAATTTATTATTATTTACTGCAACAGTAACAATAGTTACAATTATTGCATAGTTACATACTTGCAATAATTTATAGTAATAATTATTGTAACAAATCATTTCGTATTTCAAGCTAATTGAAGTTTGCGAAGTAAATTCATTATTCACTAATTTTACGACACAAATTATGCACTTATTCGATAAATAAGTAAAAAATATTTTTATTCGTTTTATGAAAAGGAATACGTTTCCATCTAAATACAAATGCTCGTAATAAGAAACATGTCATTATGTATTATGCAATTTAAGTTTCTCTTTTTATATTAATAATTAAATGTATTTATTAAATGTAATGTATTGATATAAATTATATATTTCTTTATATGAATGTATTTTGCTTATGATATTTTATTATATTATTTGAATAGAGAAAAGGAGTTGCAGGGAATAAATTCATTTCAATGACCATTTTTGCTTTTGTTAACTTCTATTTGCTAAAGCAGCTGATGAGTTAGCTATACTGAAATCCATCAATATACCAAATTTCTTTTAATATAACAAAAAACAATATTAGTTGCTTATACAGAACCATATTTTTCATTAGTTGTGATATAGAATTATTTTTGTTGTGTTAACAAATTTGCCATGCAACAACATCAAACTTTATTAGATACAATTACAAATTTTATATAGATTTGCGATTTGGTTATTTGTAACATAGCAGACTAGTTGTTCGTATATTACGACTATATTTGCTAGGCTAGCAAGGTTTTCATTTGTGACAGCAAATTTCTTTTCCCGCATTGCATTTCGTGCCCGCACGATATGAAAACCAATCGGTATAATTACGTCCAAAGCGCGAGCGTGCTTACTTGCGTTGGATCATTCGCGTTTTGAGTCAGGAGTTTACAAGCGAGCCAGTAATTATGAGATGAAAGCATTCTCGATCCGTCCCAGAATAACCTCTTCTCCGATTGAGAACCCTAAAGGGCTTTACTTCTCGTCGACTTCTCCCGTCCAATTACTCATCGCACAAAAATGTTGCGGGCTTACGGCTTCGATCAATTAATTTTGCCGACCTTTCACAGCGCCGGCAAACATTTTCCCCGCTACTTTACACTGCTACAATATCGCGGCGATATTCGTACTATGACGGTCTTTGCGGTGTGCAGGCGTGTGGGTGTGTAGGTGTGTGCAGACGTAAATAAGACGGTGCCGGCGGATAGAAGAAGAAGATAAGATCGGTGTAATTTGATTACGTATCTTGCGCTGAAAGTATATAAAGTAATTCAAGAGCTATGTTGCAAGGACTAATGTCCATTTAAAGAGGAAACGATATCTAAATGGTATACAAAAGATGGTGTAAGTGAGCGTAATCCTTTTTCATTTATTTCCTAAACGCGAAGATTTATATATTTAATTAAAGCCGACGTAAAAAAAAGCGATTTGTTTAATCAAGCGTTATTTCTTTTTTAAGAAATTCTCTCGCTGGTTTTTCGAAAAATAATAATCGATCTTTGTCCAATATTTCGAAATATTGTTTTTATTCTTTGAGAGAGAGACAAGAGGAAGGGAGGAGGGATGATAAAGAAGAAAGAAAGAGGAGGGAGAAATCTTAATGAGAAAGAAGCAGTATAATTTTCAACGCAACAGGAAGTTTCCGAATTCTTTCTCCGCTTTACTTTTTCTTAAATTTCACAAGTCTTTATTATTATGTGTTTAAGGGGATATTCTGATTTACATAACCAAAAAAATAGATTTTTACGAATTTTTTCAGAGAAATATATAAAAATATTAATATATATGTAACGGGGTTCCTCCCTTCTCGCCCCGTGCTTTTCCTGCGGTTTATCGCTTTGGGTAAGCTCGCCGACGGTCAGGATCGTGATAGGAGAGAGAGAGATGGCAGTAATGTGCTCGATTGTGTTGAATTATAACGAGAGTTTATTGCTGTGGCGTACAGTGGGTGGGGATTTACACTGTGCCCGTAGCGCGCGCGATCGGTGTTACCGGTGCAACCCGGGGTGGTGAGCGGTCGCGGTGGCGGCAGGCCGCGATTCGGGTTCTGGGCCGCGTCGTCCATCGAGTTGGCCTCCGCTATCCCAGACGCGGCCGGGAGTTCCTCCCTTCTGCTGTTGGACGGCGGCCTGCTCGGCGCCGAGGCCCGGCACGTCGTCGTCTGGAACGGTGTGTCGTGGAGTCACGGTCGAAGCCCGACGCGCTCTCCTCTGCGTTCGATCGACGGCCGAAATCCGGCACGTCGTCGTCTGGAGCGGTATGCCTCGAGAGGCGGAGTTCTCGGTGTCACGCTCCCGTGCTGGTCTATTGGGAGACCCGCGGTGAACTCGTCCCGATGGTTCCGCGAGCCCCCCTTTTATAGAGGCGGCCGCGGAAATTTAACTGCGAGTGCTGCCTCAACCTCGCGTTCCCGCCGCGTAGCGGCGATCGGGATGACTACTGGGCTCCCGGTATGCTAGTCGTATCACGGGTGTCGGGTATCGCAATTAAGTACAGCGGGGAGAACGCAACATAAATATATTTTAGGTACCGACAACGGTCGAGAATACAACGGTGGAGTAAATGAAGGAAATAGTAATTAGAACGGTTAAACATAATTATGGTTAGGAATGAGGTAGGAACGCCTCGTTACACCACCTCCTCGCTAGCATGTGGTCCGGCTCGTCGTGCGCGGAAGAGGACTTCTCCCTTGAAGTGGAGGATCCACCGGGTGCTGCCCACGTGGACCCGGTAGGCCCGCTGGCGTAAGGTGGCTGCCCGGGGTACCGTGACCTGGGTACCGTCCGGCAACGTCACGGTCCGTCGAGGCCCCCGAGGTTCCGGGTTTCCCCCCGTGCTGGGGGGGGAAGGTCGATGGGGCCCTCGTTCAGCCCGTGGTCTCGTCGTTGGGGAAGGCTCCCGGCTGCTCCCTGACGAGTCGCTCCCAAAGAGCTCACGCATGAGTGCCTTCTGGTCCCGGGCGTACCGGGGGGCGCCCACCCGTCCTGTCGCTGCTGGTGGCACTGGTGGTGGTGGCGCCGGTGCACAGTGTTGCACATCGCCCGTTTTCATGGACATTAGCTATTTTATGAAACGTAAATTAGTAAATTTTTGTTTTGAGAAATTGAAATTATAATGTCTCAAGTATAAGAAAACGTATAAATAATTAAATTTCTGATCAAATTGTAGCCTGACAGTTGGAGAAACAAGACCATATATTTAAGAACTATTTTGTGAGCAAAAACATACATATAATAGAGCCTCAATTTTTTTACACTAAATAAGTATTAGAGAATTAAATTTATAGATTAAGAATTATCCATGTACTGGTCTTTTAATAAGCTAGTATTGCTTCTCATATGTCTCGATATTATTTACGCACGCATCACAATTCAAATTACTGACAAGCCCGATACAAAGCAATAGAAATGTTGATATAAGTCACGTCCATTGCGTTCCATTATGTTAATTTTTGCATATATTATGAACTATAAATGTTATTTATAGGAGAGAAAAAGAACATGCTGCGCAAATGTGCGCCTAAGCGATTTTAAGCCAAAGAACTGCAACCAAAATACAAGCTTCGAGTACGACTGCTGTCGGCTCAATTCACTCGCACGCGCTTGTGCTCTAAGTGAACAAATTTTCTATATCGTATGACAAATATAATCAGAATAAAATAGAAATGTTTACCAATTTAAAATTTTACACACATACAGCGGCTCAAGCCACGCAGGAGGAAAATAGCGTATCAAATAAAGAAAAAGTACTCTTGTTACTCTTATTAATATTTTCTTTTATTATTATCACATTTTTCTTATTAAATTATAATAACACACACGTAATGTTGTTATTTAAATTAAACATTATTAAACATTATTAATTAAATAATATAAACAATTAAATTTCAAACTCAACAACATATTGTTCACCAATTTCTGGAGAATTTAAGAGTGCAAGCACCTCAGGAGGCAAAGGAGAATTCTGTTTGGATGACACTTTTCTCAAAGAAGATATTAAAGGATCTGAGTTTTGGAGAAGCAAATGAAGTAAATCTTCGTTGGTTTCTTTGCGAGACATTTTTCTAGTATTAAATTCTCTAATCTTTTTACAATCTTTATGTTTTGCCTCTTGGGCTTCTTCAGAAAATTGTC